CCAAGCGCAGTGGACAAGGTACAGCAACCGCTTCCAGCTGGAAATCCGCCTATGACAACCTCAGAAGGGTCAGAGCACGCGCAGAGAGCCAAATGGTGTGCTATTGTTGTGGTTCAAACCAACATCACCTGGCTATTTGTCCCGACACTGAGAAGAAGAACGAGTTGATGAAATCATTTTCTTACATGGAGGACACTATGCGCAAGTGCTTCACCGAGGACGACAAGGCAATCATCCGACGTGATGTTGAAAACCGAAAGAGGAAAGCAAAGTCATCCAAAGACGTCGAAGACGAGGACTACATGGATGTGGATGATGAAGATATTGAACTTCCCGAAGAAGAGCCGGAACTAGGAAGTAAGGTACCACCTTACTCTCCGAGAGCCAAAGGTAGACCACATCCGTCAGACTCTGCAAAAGAGGAATACGCGAAAGCGGTCGAGGCAACCAAGAAGGCCTTTGGGAACGCCAGTTTCGTCACCAGATTCAAAGAGCCCGTCGACCTCTTTGACATTGCCGATGACAAAGAAGGAGGAGAATACAAGGTCGCAAATCACAGGGTTGATAGATCAGGTCCCGATGGAAAGAGGGAACTTGATGCACTTATTCAGGAGGCTGCAGCACTCGGAATAAAGATGCCCAAAGTGAAGGACCTTGCTCCTGACCCACAACAATTTCAAAAGGATGGATATCGGCAGATTGAGGTGGCTTGCGATAGAGGAAACATCGAGATAATTCCACAGTATGGAGTTACATTCTATGTGGAGTACTGGAATGGACCGAAGAGAGATGCAACTTTCACGGATCCACCAAAGATGAACCCAGCAATTCGCATCGACAAGTCCAGCGAGGAGAGTCAGTGGGTCAGCGAGATTAGCCATAGACTCAATAGACTACTCAGGCATGGAGTGGGAAAGCATAATGGGATTCAATCGCACCGCGGTCGAAAACCACATGTGTCCCCGAAGTGCAATGAGGGTGGATGGGTGAACATCGATGAGATCCTGGAATATGATCATGTCTTCAACGATGGTGTCAATATCAGTACTATCTCAGGCACTCAACGTGAGCAAGATACCAAGACAGAGCGATACCAATATTTATGCAAGGCGATGTGGCATGCAAAGAAGTTGCAGAACAGAGTACGCTATCAGATTGCCGCCATTCGCATCTCAAAGGAGGATGTCTCACTCGAAGAGGAAAGGCAATACTGGGCAAACCTCATGTTTTACGGCGCAGACGCACCGTCATTTCTGAAGCATGAACGTTGGATCGTTCCTTGTGCAATTCGAGCTGTTGCCTCTCACAATTCTGGAAGAGAGACTGTTCTTGAAGAGGATGTGTCAATATATCCTGTGTGGACTTCACATCTCATTCCAGAGAATGTGGCAATGCAGCTTGGAGGAAGCTTTCACATGACATCGCTTTCCAATATTGAGTCAATCATGAAACTAGGAATTGTCCCTGGTGGAATGGAGGGATATAGAGGTAGTGTTTTCTTCAACCACTTTGCGCCGTGGGATGATCGATCATCAAAGATTCTGAGATCAAGATGGCCAAGAGTGGGAATGCCCGTATGCCTTTATGTTCCAATCATGACTTTGAGGAAGCTTGGGGGAAGAATTTCGGAGAATTCCTACACTGTTGTTTTTAGAGAAGTTCCATGGAGATGTGTACGAGGTGCTTGGTATTGGGACGACCACGTTCAGGCATGGAGGAGACTCCTGCTGGGAAGTACTGGAGAGCAAGTTGTTTTAGCGGCACGTCATGGACTTTGGGTTGCTCAGAAGCATACCATCCTCGAGAGAGCCGACGAAGTCACGAAGTCAGCCTCGGCGACAGATGACAACGTCCAAAAGCTCGTGTCCCTTGTTGATGAAGTAAAATTCGATGACAATGGAGAGCTGATCGAGGATTCCATCAGTGAGGAAACTTGGGACGAAATCATCTCCAGAACATGTGAAGGATATCGCAACGTGGATGGCAACATTTTGTGTCCATCATGTATGCATTTGACTTCTTCATCTTTGTCCGTGTGTCTATCTTGTCAAGGCAGGCTACTCTCGTGTGGTATTCGCAACACTGTCATTTCCGATTCACCCGTTGATCTTGTGACCGACGATGAAGAGGAAAAGAAGGAAGAGAAGGAGCCTGAAGATGATGTTCAAGATACTTTGGACCAGGCCACTATGGACGAGATCAGAAGGGCTTGGGAAGAAGACATCGCTCAAACTGAAGCAGCTGACGACGACGAGGACATGGACAATTTAGATCCTTCCAAACCGTCTGATGGTGCAGAAAACTTCAAGAGTGACAATGTCGAGACCCCATCTTTCAATGAGGACGAGATCGACTACGGTCGTGATTCTGATCTAGAAGATGAAGACGAACGAAATATGATCATCGAGATCCAGAGGAGCACACAACAATATGAGGGGAAGAAACGCCAAGATGGTGAGCCCGAGGATGAAGACGTCACCGACGACTTACATCTGGAGACGAATCGACCGACAGATCGTGATGAACCGGGATACTATGCGCAGCATGGAGCGACCGAGTTCAATCCCGAAGAAGGAAAAGACAACGAGGATCTCCCCATCTATTGTCGAGTACCGGAACCTCGAATCTATGCGCATCAAGAGAGAGCCTACTGTCAGGACGTCTCCGTGAAAGCATCGGGTTTGATGGATAGGTATGTGGTCAAATGTGTGCTGAGCATGATCTCCCTGATGTACAAGAGCTACTATTGCACCAGCCTTACCGACTTCAAAGCAAATTGGAAAAAGAAGCGTCTGGATGTGATAAGCAAGTTCGGTACAGGAGATTCCACTGAAATCGATGACGATGGGAGACCATTGGATCCAACAGATGAGATGATGTTAATCTTTGCCAACGACAACAATATTACAACTGAGGAGGCCTGGCACCGATTCAGAGGAGAGCAGTTCATTTGCAAGGTGGCACTCATGATCCTATCATTTGGTCATACTCCGCAATCCTTCAAGGAGGAATATGGCAACTTCGAACACTCCACCAACTTGACTGATGCCCAGCTTGAGGAGTTGAAAGCGAAGAAAGCCAGCGCAATGACTGAATTGGTACAGAAGTGCATCCATGCGATTTATGGTTGTCGGACATATTCTTACTTTAGAACCGACGTTACATCACCCAACCACAAGGTGATCGATCCTCTGGACATCATGTACTCGAGAATGAAGAGCAAGTGGGAGAAGTCTATTCTGTTGATCATTGATCAACATGAGATCAGGTTACCCCCACAAGCTCAGGAAGTCATAGAGTCAATGGCCAGAAACCCCAACGTTGGACATACAGAGAGATGGATGAGCGTGGTAGAACATAAGCATGTTCAAGCTCTTACCAATCGTCTAGGCTTTGGAGATAGGGCCAAGGAGATTCAGGGCAAGAAGAAGCAGGCAGCCAAGGCAACAGCTAAGTCAACATCAACGACTAAGTCTGAAGCGAAAACAGCATCTTCGTCAAGAGCTGAGGCAAAGCCAGCATCTACACCCAGAGCCGAGGCCAAGCCGTCGTCAGCACCAAGTGAGGAGCCAAAACCTTCAACAGCACCTAAGAGTTTCGGGCCCTCATCAACAGAGGAGAACAAGGCGAAGGCTGTTCTAAAAGCCAGACCACATGATAAATCACCATCCAGTGCTACCGATGTGTTCGAGCAAGCTTTGCAGGAAGATCTTGCCGCCAACACACATGCAGCAGAAGGTACAACTTCTTCATCATCCCGAGGACATTCCAAAGGAGGAGGCCAATCTGGAACATCTTGGAGGCCGGCGCTAACGCAAGAACATCGCGAAGTACCTCAACCTTCTGAAAAGGGAAAGGGAAAGAGCAAGTCCAAGGGAAAGTCCAAGAAAGGAGAAGATGATCGGTGGGATGCTCAGGGCAGCTGGGATCATCGTGGAAGGAGAGGTTATCACCAGTGGTGATTTCTTTGAACGACTATGAGGATACCATGCAAACCAGGGAGGAAGTCATTCACCGGATGTCTATCTGACCTGAAACGCTGTAAGTGTATCATTGCAAATCGTCAATCTGATTTGATACCATGAGCATAATGGAAGGAAGACAATCACCGACTGTCTCTCCGACTTGCCGTTCTGTAAGTGTATCCAAATTAAAACCTACATCTGTTGAGAAGTGTGAAGTCAGTTGCCGATGTGACATCTACGTGGAAGTCACCAGTTCGGATCTACATCAAAGCGATGCTCTTTTGAGTGGATACTGAGCGAGGCCTCGTGACTGTCTCACTTGTTCAATTCGATTTTTTTCATAGGTTCTGAGCCATAGTTGCACACTTTATATGTAAAAGTCCGCTTTAGTCCAGCATGTTTCGTAGTATGAGCCTCATATGAGTCTCGCGGCAAATCATACAATTTCTTTGTAGCACTTACATCCCTAAATTTTCGTGTGTGATCGGAACATATTGTTACCGTTCACATGGGGGGTGCGAATGGAAGTGCAGCGACACGTACAGTGCAACTTGTACATATATATATATACCATATGTACTTTGGCTCAAGGATCAAGCGACTAGAAAAGGTGCGGCTTCCGTTCCGACGCTACGCCGCTTATGGACCGTCAGTGATAGCTTCAAACTTCGCTGATTAAGATCCACTCGCATAATATGTGTATGTAATATATGTACTTTAAGACCAGAGATGAACTACGGCTGGCTTGCCGAGGAAGTATGAGCGGTATGCTGTGTCAAACAAATTTAGACTTTTCTGAGCGAGGGTTCCAGAGTTCCAGACTGAAGAGCCAATCCAAACGTTGATTGGAATTGCTTCGGACCAGGAATGGTTCCCAGATGCAGTGCGACCAGCCCTACGTCGGCATTTGCCAAACTTTCATGAAGGCGCAGCAACTGTTTCACAGCTGTGAAAAGCGTTCATCGATGTTGCCATCGCATCGCATGGTCAATATTTTGCCATCAACTTCTGGCATTTCTGTGGCTTGTTGGTTTGAAGTTGCATTCCGCTCGCCCTGGTCATAGTTGCGCCATGGCGCCCGGCGGTGCTGAGTACACACTTGTTCCTGTGTCTTTAGTCTCCGGTGAGTCGGTCGAGATCAAGCTCTTACCCGGCTCGACAGCTTTGGACCTGAGACTTGTCGCATCCATGTCACACCTTTCAGAGTGCTCGGATCCACACAGTCTTTCTTGTATAATGGACAGATAGCATATTAACATGTAACATCATGTAACGACACTAAATAAATCGCTAGAAAACTTGAAATACATTAATGAAAAGCGAAAGCACGCTCAAGAGTTCAAAGTTTCAAAAAAGTCCAATCATTGGCATCATTGGCAGCATTCAACCATCACTTGATGCCACCTACTAAGGAAGGACCGCTTCCGCAAGCAGTGGCCTTCCTACAAGGAGACAATCAATTTGTTTTGGTCTTTCGTGAAAGAGAAGCTCATGGTACAAGGATGTACGATGCGACTTTGTGATGCTATCAGGTGTGCATTTGGATGTAAGATCATGGAGAATGCTTGCTTGCATGTTTCAATACTGCTGCGCTTGTTACATTCTGAGAAATTCATATCACTTATTGTGGAGGATGTCTCCCTCCAGCTTTTCCTGCTGAACGGAGTAAGCCCACTCCAAGACTCGGAGCAAATTGACTTGACCTCTGCGCCAAGCTTCCTGCTGGTGGCCGGTGTGGCTTCCTAGATTACAGAAACTGGTACATTTCAGATTTGTTGTTTTTTACCCATGGTGCTTGCATGTGGCACGTGGCAGCAAGTGAAATGCAGAGCTGAATCTGGACAAGTTCTCATCCTTCAGAAATCTTACCATTCTGAGGAGAGGCTGCACCTCCACCTCGCACAGATGAGCTTATGGCTACTATCAACCAGACATGTCCTGGCCTCAGAATGCATCAGAGACTTAAATCTCCCACGTAGATGATAAGAGCACTCAAAACATAATTACTTGAATAAACGGTCATATCATCATGTCCATGTACCAAGGTCAGGATGCAGGAGGGATCTATGCAAAGTATGGCTGCAAGGCACCGGACAAGGAGTAGGTCCCTGAACTCTCAAAGACTCGTAGAGACGTACTGTCACCGTTTTCGTGGAACATATACCAACATGTGACATGTGAGTGTATGTGCAAAGATCGAAAGGTAACACGGTCATCTTGCTCGGTTATTGGTAAGCCGTCGTGGAACATTTAATTTTCCTTGATCATGGTGAGGCCATCTCCTGGGATGACTGCACACGCTCAGCTGGCCCTAAGGGCCTGAGCTGCTTCGGGCCGAACATCACGGACTCCAGGCCACGGCCATGGTGGATTGCAGTGCAGATTGCGGCGCAGCGTGCAAGATGCAAAATGAACATCTCTGCCAGATTTGATCTCTAAGCCACATTGCTTGGTGCAAGATGCTTGAAGGACACAAGTTTCTCTCTCTCTCTCTCTCTCTCTTTGTTACATTATTTGTTTGCTACTCCTGCTATTCAGGTCCATGAGTAAGTATATGCTAGGTGTGGTTTGTCCAAATCATACCGTAGCAGATGTCAAATTACACGGAGGTGTAGGAATCAACCCAGCTGTGCATCAAAGTCTATATAACTGCAGCTATGTGAGACAACTGGAGGTGTTCTCTTTGTTTTCGTCATTCTCATTTGAGAGGAGTCTTTCTTTACTCACTTCCCTTCCCAGGGATCGGGAGTCCGCTTCCCGTCTTTCCAATGGTTCGTGAAGTGCACTTGGGTTGTTAGATTTGATCAGACCCTTTGTCGTTCAAAGAATTTGCCTCTTCTCCGTTGCATGAAGATGTTTGGTGAATTGATGTATACAATGTAGGCACGGTCCTATTGCATTAATATATATATATATATATACACAATGGATGATATTGAATCGTACCCGGCCTTCAGGCTTGTGGAGCGCTCTGGAAAGACGCTTTACACTGTGCGCGGCTCCAATTGGAACGAGAGGTGTGAGTGCTACTCACCAAGAATGGCACTACAGTCTTCACAATGACGCAGTGTTTGTGTTAGTCAGCAAAGGATGCTTTTTCCCATTGACCCCGCAGATAGCTAGGTGTACTGGTTGCGCATTTTGCGGGCTTCCTAGGCACCATTTCAGGTTGAACATGTGTTTTTACGTGACTCCAACCCAGTTGACTTTCTAATTTACAGTATCTACTGCATTCTATCATGTTTTGTCACCTCGTGATGTTTCTTGGGCTTCCTAGATGATTGAAGAGTCTGCTTGCTGGAAAATGCTGGGACAGTCCAACGTCTAGTCCACGGTATGTGCTGGACAGTGGGCAACGTAACCTAGTGTACAGACATTTCTATACATTTCTTGTATATGTGAAGAAACAATTCCTGTGTTTAGTAGTAACGGCGAGACTCCAGCTTTGCGCGAGGCTGGGAAAAGTCGCAGCAAAAGATGTCACTGTGCTGGTGACTGGTAAAGAGAAGGACCCAGAACCAAGAACGGTAAGTTTCCGTGTACATCTAGAAGCGAAATGACTATTGCTAGCACTTCTTCAAGGAAGCTCCTGCCCTACACAAGTTTGCGTCGATAAGCCAGGAGCACATATATATATATATATAATGCGTACAATTACTGTATGCCCGATTTATGCACATAATGCGCATATTTGCAAGATATATACTCAATACATAATGCAACATAGCTTGTTTCTTAACCCTTGTACTTACGCACCTCCTCTACCCACCCAGGTCGTGATGGACTTACCCCGCGTTTGTTGTGGGATTCCAGGAGCTGAAGCCAATTTCGTTGCGAGAATATTTGGAGCAGATCCATCAGTATGGTGGCTATGCAGGACAGATATGTATACATATATACAGACTAGTAGAGATACACATGCACACTTTCTACATATTCAAATTGCGCTTGTATTGAAGGTTTTATGATGCTTGGGGTGATGGGGATGGGGAGGATATTCTGAATGGTGATACCATTGCATATATACAATTGTATTGATGGGTCGGGTTTTACAAACCAGCAGGTAGGTGTTTTAAGTTTGGATTTGCAAGAACATGTCAGTTTTCCTCCAGCAGCTAGCAAGACGAGATACAGGTGTCCCCGCTGATACTGCACTGCATGCAGACGCGGATCAAGAAATCAGCATCAGGCCATAGCCATAGTCGCAGCAAACGCTTGCTGTCCAAACCTTTTTTGCAATTGAAGTTGATTATGGGATGTGTGCACTCAGTGTGTTCGACAGGCTTGACTGTCAACAGGACTTGCTAACTTTGAAAAGGGTGTATAGTCGGCAGACATAGATCAGCGGCGGAAGGCAGAAGTGCTTGTACTCATTGCCGGCGGTTTGTAGCATTAGAACTATCCTCGCTATATTAATACAGGTGTCGGGTTTCAATCTTCAGGCTACACCTCACTTGCCAAAATAGCAGAGGACCTTTCAAAGGGTATAGAAGTATATACTGTACTTGTCGAACCCGTTGCTGGCTTATTCAGTTGGTGTCAGCTTTACACACTGCCAATCGTGTAGAACCCTGTCAGTTTTACATCACTTTTGCCAGCTGGCTTGGCACTCCGTATTCAGTCCTTGTCACTCCAGGTTCCAAACAACCTTCCTGCCCGTTCATGAGGACGTTTTGTAGACGTCTTGTAGCCTTCTTGTGCAAAGTACTGCAACTTCATCGCTTCGCTTCATCATTTGGATGGCTACTTTGCTGTTTGGACTGGTTGGGCCTTTGTCCAGTCTAGCGAACGAAGTTGAGTCCACTGAGCGCACGACTGCACCTCTATCATAGTGTGGAGTGTGCAGTATTATCCAGGATGGCACAGTGGAATTCTGTGGAGAAGCCTACAACTACCAGCCACTTGCAAGCAATTTGAGTGATGTGGCTGGCTGAAGGCTTTGGTTGCTCAAGGCAAGACACCTAGTCCATGCCAAACCCAAAATAATCAGCAGAGAAAATGCTTTGCTATGATGCCGAAGTCATTCAGGCATGCTCTTGATACTCTGATACGCTTTTGGTGACTAAAAGTTGATTTTGTATGATTTTTGTACAGTAAGTATTCAGAGGGCACTCACTAAGGGGTCCTGGATGCCACCTCGGAGAAAATACAGGGAAAGTGGCACTATCAATGATCCACTCTCTTGTGTTTCGGAGAACAGGAATTCAAATTATGTATTGACTTCTGTCTTGATTGGGTTGTAGCATTGCAGTTTGAGCCCTCTGCAAAGGTTTTCGTTGATGCACATTAGAAGGCTGAACAAGATACCAAAAGCACAAAATGTTAGGTACACATGTGTGGCAAGCTTTCTGCATGAGGTTGTGTTCTATGTTTATAAGTAGCTTCGCATCCATCTTTTAATCGCTTCTCGTTTGATCTGTAGAAACGCATCCGCCACAGCGTTTTGAGTATTTAAATCAAAGGCCGGAAAGAAGGCAGGTTGGAGGCCTAGTTGTCATTCCCTCCAGGACAGTGTCCAATGATGACCCTAAGAACCTGGTGCTGCTGTGCACCTCAGAAGGCTCCGGGTGATAGGGGCTAGAACAAATGCTGCAAGGGACTGTTGGGAATCAATAGAACCTTACATGTGCTTGAAGTCACACCTTACTAGTAGTAACAAGAAGCTACTAGTAACAAGTGCATCGCTACTAGTAACAAGTGCCTTACTAGTAGTAACAATGAGCTATTAGAAACAAGTGTCTCGCTACCAGTAACAAGAACCTATTAGCACAGGGTCTCAGAAATACTTCATGTTTGAGTTAGACTAGAGCCTTGACATGATTGGAATTGTTGGGAGCCTGCTGGGGTCAAATATTGGGAGAGCTACAAAGCAAGGCCTACCCCAGGGAAATGACAATACAACTTTATAGCACAGAGTGTGAGCTGTTGGGCATTGTTGTCCCAATACAATTTTGATATGGAAACAGTATGATGTCTTAGGGAATCAGCTGATCTGTGCGTGTTTTCCACTTGCCTGATGCTATTGTGCTTCAGTTTTGCGTGTTTAAATGTACATGTATACTATATATATACAACATTATACAACTTTTCTGCGGGCGTTGTTTCGGTCCTTTCGAACATTTTGTTGTTGGCAGTACCGGAGAGTCCAGTGCAAGACCTAAGGAAAGCATGGTCGTAGTCATAGCATGCTTGACCGAACTATGTCATGCTGCTCAGTCAAAGGGAGATGAGAAAGAAAGCGAGACAGACAGGAAGGAACAGGGTCAATATCAATCATGCGAGGCCGGGGGAGCTTCCTTTAAGAAGAGCTTTGCTGCTGCTCTGTGGGCAGGAACATTTGTGCAACAGCAGGGTGTTGGTTTTCAGAAGCTCTTCCTGCATGAGACCACTGAGGCACGTGCTTGTAGGACAACAGGCTACCGACACAATTTCTGAGAAATGGTGGATGCAGTGAATTCGGTGATGTTTTGCTTTCATGAGCTTTGTCATCAGGTATGAATATGAATAATTATGTACACGTCAGTACACGTAGTATATTATGTACACGTGGTATATTGTATCCGATATGTGGATTTACTGTGTATTTTACCACAGAGTGGCTGCCGAAGGTAGTTGTTGGAAGTTGGATTTGGCTCAGCAGGCAAGCGAGCAAATTGCACGTTGTTGGATGGAGGCGTGGTGCTGAAAAGGCAAACTGCGGGGAATAGGATTGCCAACCATGCAGCGATGGCGATGACGAGTTTGCAAGTTTGAACATCAGTGTGGCAACGACAAAGCAGGATTATGGAACAAGAAGGTAAGGGCCCGTTTATAAGATGAGAAGGACAATTGAAGGGTGCCTTATTCAAGGGGCCCTTAGCTTTTTTGATTGCCAGAAATCCTGCCTTGCCAGAAGACACCATCAGAGTGCTTCCTCCTGACTCACAACACACTCTACTCTATTCTCTGAGCTTTGACGAGGCAAAGCGTACTGGACACAGGGTCGGCGAGGCACAGGAGAGGCATGGGTTTTAAGTCTTATCAAGGTGTTCATAGAACTTATCAGGCTCGCTACCTTTGGGAGCGGGCCTGAATTTGAAGAAGGCCGGGTTGCGCATGTTCTCTTGCTATACTTAGAGGTTACCTGATATTGCATCAAATAGGCAGTTTATCAACCAAGCAAGCAAGTTGATTTAGAAGGACTTGGCCGCCTTGGCCAGCACATATTTTAGCTGATGGTTGTCATGTGTTCCTCCAACTCCAACCAAGAAATGTTCAAAAAGCTTTAGACAGTGTTACGCAGCTTGAGGAGGAGAGTTGGGAAGCTGCTGCAGAGAGCGCTTTGAAAGCGCAAGAGGCTCAACGAGAGTTGGAGGAGGCCCAGTCTATCCATTTGTATCTTAGGGTTTTCACTGCAGAGGAAGACGGAAGAGCCAAGTCCGGGGACAGACGGCCTTTCCCAGCATTCGATACAGGTTACAGCAGCATGCTTTACTGCACTTGTGAAGGCACAAGCCTTGTCAGAGGGCAGCAAAGATTCAGCGCAAGCGGACAGATTGTTTGAGCATTTGAAGTTGCTTGTCACCGTCGCTTTGTACTGTAGTCACTCACTAGCCCTGGGTGCGCGAAAGCAAGTAACATGAGCAGATTAGACAAACGTGCGTTTATTTGTGGTGGAAACCAGCTCCTGCTTACGCAGCTTGTGCGCTCATGGGTTCATGGGCTTATGTTTACAAGTTTACAAGCGTCCACATGAGTTTTACTATGATTAATTACCATGGTTCCAGTTTACCTGCTTACTTGGTGTGTATCAAGTTAGTTCTTGCCTTGACTGATCCTCAGCACAGAAGCATAATATGAATGTATATATATATACTGTATATATCTATACAAATATATAGTTATATACAAAAAATAGCTCACTTCTCTTCTTGCTTGCGTAGTCAGACAGAGATGCTCTGCCTGTGTGGCAGCCTGCCTCTCACCTAGCAAAACATCGGAAACACCATGTTGCATTGTGTTTCACGTCGTGTTTCTTCAGCCTTCGCAACTACTCACGTGTTTCATGTTGTTGATGCATCCCGATGCGGCAGGAGCGCGTTGACCAGCTGAAGATGCAGGTGGCACAGCTGGACGCAGAGGCCACTGAACGAAAGCTGCGCGCAGCAGAGGCCCGGATTTGTCAAAGCCTCGATCCAAAACAAAATGGAGGTCTCTATGCTTCGATGGTTTTACTTGGAACGTCAAGAGCATCACTGTGTACATGTTCAATGTAATTACTGCGGCAGGATGCCAAACTTCAAGTTGTGCTTTCTGCTGAGTAGCATTTGTCTTGAGGCAGAAGAAGCAACACTGGAGGGCAAGGCGTGGATATCCAACAGCTTTGCTTTTGGCAAAGAGAAGTTGACCAGGTTTGAATGAGTCCAGTGCCGCTGACAGGCAGTGGCGCGAAGATTTGGTATAGACGCAATGGGAAGCCGATGCAACATGCTGATGACCATTCAGGCGTTGCAGTGTTTAAACGACGCCAGTGCCTGCAAGTCTTTGAGAGCAAGTGGTTTTGCAAAGCCAATACTAATGCTTGCTTGCATGTGCAAGCCCCTTGTATGAGGTTTGTCAAACTCACGTAGAGCATTGTTGATTGGGATGCACATGCAGGAATTTACTAAATTGGAGGGGGTTCAATCAAGCCCCAGGATCGAACAATTGTACTAATTTGGTCAAATTTGACAATCTTGCACTTGCTCACGGACACACTGGTCACAGACATTTGGCTCCAAGTCATCAGTGCACAATGTAAGTCTCCAGCCAGAATTGCCCCGCCGTTGGGTAAAAGTTGTATGTTTGTTGTGTTCACCCCGTGCAGTATATGTTCGGTGAGCTTTGGTTGTGGTCATGATCTTGCGAATCCGATATGATACAACAAGTGACAAGTGTAAATGGCAATGTTTCACGCATGCAAACGGCATGTAGAAGGTATGAAACCTCCAAGCAAAGACCTTGAAAGACGTAAGGCGCAACAACAGGGGGAGAAAAGATGAGAAAAGTAACAATCCCTGTGATCAGATAAGGGACCTTAACACCTCGATCAAACAATTACTGTATCTTCCACCCGCTCTAGAACTATATACCCTCGGGGGATAGATAGCTACGGGTGAGTTCTTGATTTGGCTGCACGGGAAACGGAACCCATGCACACATAGCAAAACTTGGAAGCACTCGACACGTGCTCAGAGGTTCCACTTGAGCAGAAGGCTCCTGCGAAGACATTTTGTAGCCCAACTAGCCCAACCTTCGAAGGACTGCAGACTGTGTGAGCTGAATTGAAGGGTAAATAGGGAAAAGTCCATGTTTCCTTTGGCCCATGAGTTCAAGGATCTTTGAACACGTCGATTATTGTGATTTTGATATATCATGGGTCGAGAGCTTCTGACCGCGTACCTCCGTTCGAAGACAACGAGTTGAAGAAAGACCTGATGGTTCCACTGACCCAAGTACCAGGTATTTGCAGTAGGCGCATTCTCTTATTCGAGCCGGGTAGCATCAGGCCCATGAGGATCATGGGCAAGAAAGGATCTTTGAGGCATGGCCCACGTGGCTGGAGAGAGAGAGAGAGAGAGAGCGAGAGGAAGAGTCAAGTATATAATTGGAGTCAAGGCATTGCTTTGTTCCTGTTCGTGAGGACACGTTTGTGGAATAGACTTCGGCACCACCAATTGCCGTGTGGCACTTTGGGAAAATGGAGGTGCCTCGCCGTGGATTCTTTCAGCTGCTGTGTCAGGGTGTCACGTCCACAATTTTGCTGGACGGTCACTACTGGCTGACACGCACACACACACAAAGTTTGCAACTCAGCGGTGCAAACAAGTTAGAAGATGCAATTCTTATTTTAAAGGTCTTGAGCTGCACAGATACATGCAACAGTGATCATTTGACATCACTTGTTTGGTGATTGAGGTGCAGACTGCACATCAAAGCCATATTATCAAAACTTTGCAAGCAAACTGCCAGGAGCTGTAGTGCTGCCCAATGCCCTGGGTGATCGCTCCACTCCATGCTGCGTAGCTGCCAAGGATAGGCCGTGTTCACTTCAAAAAACAAGAGATAAAGGGACAGTCCTTATATTGTCCTTGTACACAATCAATCAAAGTGGATGTGCTGAAGATCCCAGGACATGTACAAAAATCAATGAAGGTTGAGTGAATGATAGATGAGTGGTTAAGCTTCCCTAAACTATCTAGGAACCAAATCATTAGTGCGAGCGCTCCCTGATGCTCCCTGCATCCTGTCGGTAGTAGCTGCTTAAGCTGCCTAGTTATTTAGCTTCTATTAGCTACCCATTAGCTACTTCTAGCGGCCTAAAAGCACAACAATTAAACTACTGTATATATGTAGTATACTGTATGTATGTGTATATATATATATGTTTAAAGACACGCAGATTGAGGGATTGTTGGTCTTGTTGACTGGCTGGTCGTGAGGATGGAGAGCTGCTTGTCGGCAGCGCAGCCAAGTCGATGCTTGGCAACGCAAAAGCCAAAGGTGTTGGCTAAATGTATCCTAAATTATTATTGTTCAAGGTGTTGGCCAAAGGTGTTGGATAAATTCTTGTCTCTTATTGGCTAGAGATGCTGGAGCGTTTAGTTTTTGGCCGGGACCACTACTGTGCTAACCAAGAAAACATCTACACAACATGTCTCAAGTACCGATTTACCGCCAGGGGTTGAACCAAGATAAGGACTATAATGCAGGTACTTTGGTATAAAAATCAGTATCATTGATGGCTCATATCCGTGCGTTTGCCCAAACCGTCGAAATGTGATTGCGAAGCTCAGGAGCAGAGTGCCTGGTGAGAGCTTGGCTCATGGACTTTGCATTTGGTGTGACAGCATGACATGCTTGACAAGTCTTTGGGGATGAGAGTTTTTGATTTCAACCGCAGTTCACCTGATGCAGGCAGAGTAAAGCTTGACACACTTGGTGTGCATGTTCCGTGTTTTGCAAAATTGCACTGGGAATGCTGAAGTGTTTTCCTTATCCCTTAAGTGAGCTGATGTTTGGGATGAGTGTTGTAGGGTCAGGGATTGTGAGATTCTGGTTGGATCAAAATGCATAACCCATGGATCTCAATCTCAACGATGCAGTTTGTGTCATTGGAGGGTACACTACTAGCTCATTGACACAGACTCACCAGTCTCCAAGGTTGTTGGCCCCAAACGATATCTGGGCCGCACTTACAGTGAACTTGCCACAATTGGCTCTGCCCCGGTTCAGGCTGTGGGTTTGCTGAGGGAGACTTGAAGTAAACTTTTGCACTGAGACAGCAATACTTGGCGCGCCCAAACTTGCAACCGGATCTCTCCAAAGACTGCTTCAGGCAGGATGCAATGATGAGCCTTACATATGTTTGCCTTGTGGACCTGGTGGTGAACTGAAGCCTTGCTCCAACGATAGCTATCATGTTGTGAATCGATTGGGATTGTGTGCGTATGCGCGTGATATAGTGTGCGTTTTGTGTTTCTACTAATGAGTTTGCTTTTGTCTGGCCATTGATGATGTTTCCTTGTCGATGTGGGGCAGCTCTGGCTGGCTGATTGCAGCAGCAGTAGAATCGAATTGTGTTTCTTCTCAGATATAATGTTCCCGCAGTTTTCCACGGTTTCATGCTGGCTTGGCTGTAAATCTGTTTGTTGCAACCTGGTTTGCATCCGGAAATGTTGCACATTCATCTAGCACATTGACTTTTCTCATTTTGTTTACCCCGGAGGTGAATGTGGTTTGAAAATTGTGATAAGTGTTTTCTTTGCTAAATCAGGTTGTATATATTATATTATAGATTTCAATATGCTTGAGATGCTTGTGACCTGGCATGACACGCCCCAGCACTCTGTGTTTTGCCGTCCAAAAACCCGAGAAGAGCTGAGGAAGCTTTGTACACCCGAGGAGATTGCCACTGTGCTTTTGAAAGACGTGAAGAAGGTCCGGAGTCCAAAACCTTCATCGGTTCACTTCCTTCATCCTTCAACCCATTTCAATGGCACTTGTTTGCTTTGATACTTCTTGGATTTATTTATCGGATCGTATTGGGATTGTTTTTTTTGAGAATTGGTTTCCGAACCAAACCTGTGTGGTTCAACGCATTCAGCTGGTGGTCACATTGACAAAGTCATTCTGGTGGGAGTAAAATTGTAGGGGAACGGGTTCTAGTGACTTCCTGCTCCTCATTTTCGGAGTTGTCACGTCTTCATGTGTGTGGCATTGTGTGGCTTTGCAGTTCCAGTGAAACCCCTGGTCTGTTCCCAAAAAAGCCGGCTTTTTGCCAGGTGGTAACGGACTACCTTGGAGATGCAAAAAAGCAGGCGCCCTGTTTTGCACCGGAGCACTGCTCAATGTTTCAACAGAAAAGACACTGAGCTCACTGACAGATCTTCACTCCAAGCGTCATCAAATTTGGAAGTCCACCCATCGTTGCCAGTTGGGCTGCGTGATCACGGTTCCTGCACATGCCACTGATGCACAGCGGCAAGCCACAAAGTCTGCGGCAGCAGCGGCTGGCTTTGAAGTCATGAGGAGCCGGCTGCATGTTGGCACATGTTTCGATTGAGTGATTGCACCATGCAAAGTCGTGTAAGTTGTTGACGGAGTCGCTTGAACAAAATGCAGTCAGGATCATCAACGAACCAGCTGCTGCTTCAATAGCGCATGGCCTGGACAAGTGCTTTGGAACCAATAGACAAACCCTCCAGAGATGTTGGTCTGGAATTCTTGAGACTTGTATTTGGGAGTCGTAAAAAAATGAAACCCACGAAACATAATTTAGCACAACATTTATTGACAGTTGGTGGTCTAAAATCTGCATCGTGCACGACTGGCGCAAGGTTTTGCGCAAGGGTAATTTGCACTTCAACGAAGTGATAAGAAATGCATAGAAATACAAGGTTACTGATGACACTGACACTGGCTTGTGTTTTCTGGAGTGGAACTGAAACTAGGAGTGGTTTAAGAATGATTCCTTGTCTAATTACTCTTTCGTACAAGCGCACGTGTGCAGTGTGATCAGCGGCAGCATTTTAGAAACACTTCGACAAGCCTTACATGTTGAGCACGAGTCATAAATTTGGCCACTAGTAGCAAGAAGCTAGTAGGAACAACAAGCTACTAGGGGCTCCTGGCATCGCTACTAGGAACAAGGAGCTACTAGATTTGCAGTGGCGACTGGATGATCAGGACTCCGTGGCGTATGTGGAGTTTGCTAATCTTTTTGTGCTTCGAAAGTATACTCTTGAGACGCTGACTGGTGACTCCACTATGGGGCAATTGATACGGCTGTTGAAGAAATGGTGCTTTTTGCTCTTTCAGCAACCTGAACAGACTCTTCTTCCAGGCATTCATCACAGAGACGGCATTCATTCTTGTGGACGGGCCATTCCAAAAGGCATGATCTCTCATGCCCGCCCGTGGATCTCGACACATGAACTTGAAGCCTTCGCATCCAAGCTCATTGCCGGCGGAGGACGTACTTTGAAAACCTGGGACTTTCCCTTGGATTGCTATCGAATTTCCCCGCAAGGTTTCCGAAAGGTCCGCCCAAGGTCCGCGCCAGCGCGAATATACATAGAATGCCACAGGCCACGTCGACTTCTTTGAGCCAGCTGTTTCAGCAACAGCAACAGCGCTCAGAGGGGTAACCTGAGAATCGTTTAATTATACTAGAGTGGTGGTGTTTGACTGTGCAAAGCCATCCCAGTGTTTCCGGAAGAAGCACAGTTTTAAGCCGGTAGTTCCCCACCTGTCAGGTGAGGGTTGTTCGATTTTATGTCAGCTGCCGTCGTCCTCATCCTCCTCGTCCTCCGCCTCCTGCTCCTCCGCCTCCTCGCAGTGTTCCCCGCTGGACCTCAACCGCCAGCTCCGGATGGCTTTTATGTGGTTGTGTGCTTGTGGATGTGTTTGTGGTTGTGTGTTTCTGGATGTGTTTGTGATTGTGTGTTTGTGCATGTGTTTGTGATTGTGTGTTTGTGGTTGTGTTTCTGGTCGTGTGTTTGTGATGGCGTGTTGTGGTGTTTGAGGTCCGGCAGGGAACACCGCCATCCGGAGCTCGGGTTGAGGTCCGGTGGGGGACACACACCCACAAACACAACCACAAAGACACATTGCACCACACAACCACAAGCACAGCACACAAGCCCACAAACAAAGTCGAGAACCACAAAACTCACGACCATGGCACCATGGCAACATGCTCCTCACAATCGCATGAAGACAAATGATATAAATGTCATGGTGGGGACCACTCGAAGTAGAGCAATTGTCGGGAAAGGGTATTTTGGACAACCTCCATGTGAGTGAACGTGTTAAGTAGTGTGCTTACCATGACCAGCAAATGTTTGTTGCTTGCATTCCCTACGATTCCAATCAAGTGTGCATGTCATGTTGTGTCCAAGGGAGAGCTAAGGATGTCGGACGCCGAGCGTAAGGTGATTGTGGTTGTTGCTTGGCAGCAACTAATTCTATCAACGCAGGGCACGAGATGTGCCAGGAACAAGGTTGGAATAGTCCGAGCACTGGCAACGGAAAGCAAGGAGGGGCATGCAAGTAAACGGAGGAAGGCAAGGTGCTCAAAAATAGTGCCAGCCGACACCCGACACCCGAACTGCATCCAATCACACGTCCAATGTCTCAACCTGCTTGCATTGCAGAATGCCGGAAGAAAAATCAGCCAATTGTTGATCCTCTCTCTATGTAGATTGATTAAGTATGATTAAGTTATATACGATTCCGATTATTATTGTATTTGCAGTGAGTGGCATTGCGTTGGATTTGTTTGCCATAGTGAAGAATTAGTTCATTGATCGTTGCCAAGGATGTGGGTGCTGGAACAACGGACGTGTCCTTGCTGGAGATTGACTCAGGCATTTTTGAGACTCTCGCAGCCTTCTAGTAGTTTGCTGGGTGCTGTATTTTGTTGTTCAATACCGTAATACCCTGTGTTTTTTCTTGTCTTTTGTTTTTGGTTTGTGTTAGTTGTTCGGCCTCCTGTTCCCTCACGTTCTTTTGTTTGTCCTCCCGAATTTCTTGGGGGATTGTACCTTTCAGATGTTTGGAAGCCAATCACCATGTCATGCTACCTGTCCTCCACTCACCCTCATCACTCCTCATCCCCAAGGTTTGTTGCTCCCACCCACCTATTACACCGTTGATCCAAATTGATGTGAGCCGTGAGTTCTCACGTGTTCAAACATTGACCCCCCCTTGAAATGGACTCACGGCACAACAGTAGGTCACTCAAAGCCAAGTTGGTTCATGTTTTGATATTATATGTGATGTGATTCAATACATATATACATATAATCATATTTATATATACAGTGTTTGTGCGCCCACAAATCTAAGTCTTGCTTCACTGCAGCTCGTTTTGCAGAGTGATACTGTGACACCTAGAATCCTGGCCACCAACGGCGCGCAGCTGGGTGGATCCGATTTCGACGAAGCCTTGATGGTGGGAGCCCCAAGGTGAAGCTCAATCCAAAGCTTACATGCTTGGATCGAGAGATGTGAACACTGAATAACCACAAGCAATCAATTACAGTAAGTATTTGATATATAAGCTTCTTGGACGTTCTACAGTAGGCAGAGTCTCCAATTCCAGCGAAATTGATCTAGGATTTGCTTCTTGTGGAAAGGAAAGGAAGCAAAACTTGTGAACGGGAAGTCGTTTGATTGAATTGATTTTTGGAAAACAAAGGAAACGAACAGAACATAAAAGGAATGTTTTTGTTGCAGAATTGCTTTAAGAAGGGAACAAAAGGAAGTCAAACAGATATCATTCTGTCCAGTTTCCTTTCCAATTGATCCGGGAATTGATCCGGTACAAACATCAGTGGTTTAGTGGTGATTTCTTTTGCAACCAGAAGGATCAATTTGTATGTTCTTTTGAACGCCTGAACATCCTTATTCAGTCATACATGTATATACATCTACAATCACCAACTTGACAAATTGCCTGTGGCAAAATCTGGATGTCGCTTTCATATACACTATAAGGGATTGTGATAAGAGGGAAAGGAGCGGTGGTGGCAGCGGTTGGAATTACAGGGGAGAAGAGCAAACTCCAAGAAACATATCCTTGAAAAGCAAGTCTTGTGTTTGGAATGGTTTTCCGCACAAACACTTGTTGTTATTCCATCCCATTTTGCAAATCAAGACCTACTGTATTAACATTGACTTCTGAAACGGATTTGCGATAACTGCGTGACTTGTATGTATATATAGTTCACTATTGAAACAGCTAATTGGTGGTTGTAGTGGTATTCACCATACCCATACAACCGTCACTCAGCTGCCCAGGCCACTGTCAAGCATCAACACCAGTCCCGGACCCCATGCGAATTGCAAGAAGCTTGCGAGGCGGTCAAGCGACTCTGGACCGAAACACGTTGCATCACATGTCTACTGCATGTTTCGATCAGCATTTGTTTGAATGTTTGAAGCAAATTTCGGTGTCAGCATTATATTATTTGTTGACTTCAGCTGTATTGGAGTTTGTGCCGTGCAGTGATGGATGCAATGCAAGTGTTGCTACGCTGCTGCGCATGTTCACAACTTCTTCATGTAAGGAGCACTCAGCTACAACTACCAAGCCAGAATAGAGCTGGATGAAACAGAGCCGCGACTGAGTTGGGCAATGAAGCTCCAGAGGCTTACTTGTATAGGTCTAGAGACTGATAATTATGTGAGAAGGGCGGATGCTTTCTAGATTGATCTATATTATAGATGCAGATTTGAATGCCGTCTCGGATTGCAAGCAAAGTTTGGAGTTGCACATTACCAATTGCAAGCAATGTTTGTTTGTCGTCCACCAATTTAAGCAATTGTCCGGTCTTTCACGAGATTACATTGGGAGCGAACATGAGACGTTGAACTGCGGTCAGTCCACGGTCTCCCTGCATTGCAGTACTCGAAGCCTTGAAATGATTCTTTTGCCTAGTAACAAGGACGCTACTAGGAACAAAGGGCATCGCTACTAGGAGCAATGGACGCTACTAGGGGCGCCTGACCTTACTACTAGGAGATGCTATGAATCACTTCAAGGCTCCGAGTACTCGAAGCCTGTGTTCCTTTCCACTCAGGACGACAGTGACACCTATGAAAGCTATAAGATGTCTCGTGCTGCCTTTGAGGAGCTTATTCGACCAACCATTCAACAAGTGGAGGAGCTGATTCTGGCCACATTGCGTGATGGTACTTTGAACAAAGGTTTGGATGTGTTTGTCTTGTTATGAGGTTTAAAACCTGACTCTTTCAAGAGGTTGCACCTAAATACAAAGCGTGTGTATATATGTATAGTTCAAGCAATCAAGGGAGACGTGCTTGAAAAATTATGTATGTTTTTTTCAAGTATTGACATTTCCAAGGCAAGGTTGACGTCAAGGAGATTGATGAAGTTCTGTTGGTCGGTGGCTCTGCTAAAGTTCCTTTGCTTCGGGAGATGGTGACTAAGCTCTTTCAGAAGGAGACTGACCACTGCTGTTTGCGGCAGCTTGAAAGCAATAGGTCATTCAGCCATTATTTTTAATTTTCACTGTAAGCACAGTCAAGTGACAAGTGAATCTATCGTATGCTAGGATAGATTAAGACAAGTCAGAACTATGATTTGTTTACTGTAAGTTTCTGGATTATTATCACATATTCTCACACTATTTCTATGCCCACTTATGCGCAACAGGGTGCGCATGAATTATTTGCTGTCGAATCTCTAGCATTCCTGTGTTGAGACCTTTACTCTTCATACGTTTGCACACTGTTTAAATCTTACAAGAGAATCAACACTTCCAGACCTGACGGGCTTTCAGTGATATTCATTGGGTGGACCATGAATTTCGGATGAGAGGGCTACGACGGCTACGATATCGGCTGTCAGCTGTACTGCATGTTTGGCAAGCAAAACCGGAGTACCCGCAAGCTGCTGCTGCTGCTGCCGCCGCCGCCGCCACTGCCACTGCTGCTGCTGCTGCAGCGGCGGCTGCTGTTTCACGATGATCCCGGGTAAATATCATGTATGTACTGTATGATACACAATTATATACCTCTCCAGTTTTGGCAAATCTACGTCCTGTAGTCATGCGGAAAGCGATCGCAAAGGATTGCGCCCCAAGTTGGATCACATGTCACCTTCCCTTGACAAGGCTTCAGCCGCGCTTTTGCCACCCTCGCCCTCCCCCCTCTCTGTCTCTCTCTTTTTTTTGTATTTTATGTGTTCTTTCTGTCTTTGCTTTCTTTCTGAAATAAATGTTTAACTGCATGCATTCACTCCCCTTACTGCAGGAGCCTTGCGACACAGTACACAACTGTGAAGATGCTGTGGTCATTGGAGCTGCTTACCAGGCGACCAAGGGCTGGGTGGCATGGCTTTTGTCGCTGTTTGGTCGATTGCAAGCTGAGGGAACATGACTCATGTGTTTGCTTTGTTGGAGCAAGTAGGCAAGTACGCTGTTGCTCCTCGATTGAAACTCCTGCACTCTTTCCAAGAATATCCAAGCACATTTTGATTCGCGAACCGTGACGGGCCGTTTCCTGAACCTTGAGAGCGGACTGCTTTGCATGTTGTTTCAGTTCTCAGATCCTAACATTCGTTCACTCTGACCTGTCAGGAGGGTATTACAGGTTCGAGATGTAGGGTTCCTGGGTTCCTGATGGAGGTCTAGAATTCTAGAATCTCTTTTAGAACCTGAAACTGCATTGACTGCATAATTGTACTTCTACACAACAGAAATGCAGTGTTGAACATTTCTGCGAGGCATGTGCGGGTTGTTGTAATTTTGTGTGGCTCTTGTAGTCGTGCACTTCCCTTGACCGCTCAGACTCTCGAGGCAGCAATTCTTTGCGGCAAGAACTCAGCGGCAACAGATTTGCTCCTGCACCTTGTCAAGGTGTACAGATCCGAGAACTTGTGAATTCACGACCGCTCTGGAACTTGCTGGGTTGCCTATGGTTGCCTCAAGGGGGGTGGCTTCTGAAAATAAATAGCGGTTGTGATTTGAATGAATTTGATAGAATGAACATGAATGATACAGAATGTTTGCATCTAGATTGCCACAGTCAGCAGAGACCTCACGTCACAGCGTGTCAGCCATTTCCAGCACGCATTTATGGTGGTTGCTTCTATATTATCAATGTTATGTTTCTTGAGAATTGATGATGTTGCGAATTCTAAACTTTTTCCTGTGCGGTGCGACTGAGCTCTGACATGAATCAAGCGAGGCTGGATGTCACACCATTGTCGATTGGTTTTGAATCTGCGAATGGCGCCATGACTCGTGTCATCGACACTTTGCTATTCATGTGCAATCTTGTGTAATATCGTGTAATTATATGTATTTGGTCGAGTCTAGGTATTCAAGCCTCTACCAGACTCTACCAGTAGTTTTCCAGACTTCATGTTGGTAATTCCGCACAAAATACTCACGATTGTGACAGTTGCAGACAGAAACGAATGGTGAAAGATTGGTCCCACTTCACTTCAGCCATTTGTCGTTTGTATATAGATGTTTATAGTATGTTCAGTCCAGCCCTTTTGAGGGTTTAAGGTGCCAGCATGTAGCAGCATAGAGGCATATGAACATATGCACTGCGCCGTGGTCATCCCATCCCAGGGCAGAAACACAACCATTCCGACACGGAAGACGGTGACATTGACCACCCATATGGATTGGCAGCAAAGCGTCAAGCTTCGCATCTTCGAGGGTGAACGATCGGCATGCCAGGTGCGAAACCGTGGGCGGAGTCGGAGTCCATTGGGAGGTATGGCTTATGGCTCGGTTTCGATCAGGATGCTCTGAAAGTGAAAAGACATACAATGTCCACGTGTTTGCGGAAAAAGAGACATCACCTTTGGACCATTGTCTTTTATCTTCTTTCCTCCGTGTGGGTTGTTCTGGATGTTCAGACCATGACAGCACTCTGGATTCTTGTTTCCACTGGGTGGTTGGCATGTGCAGGTAATTATTTGCCCCCTGCTGTCTCCCAAGTGTTCAGGAGGAGATGCTCTTGGTATTTGTATAATGCCATGCCATACACCAAGCAGTGGCCTTGGTAACAAGTCATGTATCAGAATCATGGGCTTTATGCCATAGTTAAACACCTATCCAAGGCAGACTCTGTCACGAGTGTCACGAGGACTAGTGACTAGGGTAGTGGCAACCCGTCATGTACATGAATTGGGAATTCACAAGGACGGCTTCTGACTCCTGCTTACTACTTACTGTTATAGGTTCAGCTTATTTTAGCTTCCTGCCTGCTGCCTTCGGGATGATGAAATGTGAAGACCTTGATTCAGAAACCGCACAACCAATAGAGTAGCGAGACAGAGTGGGGTTCATTCCGGTTGCAACTTGTGCACCTTAACGTGGCTTCGGTGGAGTGGATTTCATAACCATTTGGTTTTGTGATGCTATTTTGAGCCAGCTCTATGTTGTTTAAGGTTCTTCATTGCAAATGCAAAGAGCAGTTTTGCGCAAAACCGTGGCCATTTTACATAGTGACAGACATAGTAATTTCAATTTGTTTCGACCCTTCTGACTTCTGAGCTGCATGAGACTTGCATTTCAAGCTGACCTTCTTCGACTTTGCTTAAGCCCACGTGTCGGTGAATTCCATTACTTGCGCACTCAGAGCAGGGGCTATGCCAGGCAGGCTACACAGGACCTTTTCAGAATTCTGGCGCCTACGGCTATTCTGGGCTACGGGTTTCCCAAAGAATCCTTCCAGGCAGCACTTGCAAAGACAAAATTCGACCTTATTGCTGTAGATGCTGGTTCAATTGATCCAGGCCCATACTACTTGGCTTCGCGGAGCTCATTTACATCCCTGGAGCATGTAGTGAGAGACCTTAGGATCATTGTGAAGGGCCTGAGCCAGCACTCTGCTGATGGCCAGCAGTGCAAACTGGTGGTCGGATCAGCTGGTGGTTGTGGCACAGACAACCAGCTTTTCATTCTGACAGATGCCTTGCAGCAGTTGCTACGAGAGGAAGGCATGTCACCGAAGCCCTTTGCGACCATCACCAGCAACTTGTGAAGACTCAGTGCATGTTCTAGTAACAAGAAGCTACTAGGTGGAGGCCATTACTATTAGTAATGTAACAAGAAGCTACTATATAGTAAGTAGTAAGGCATTGGGAGCGCTCCGCTTTTGGGGGGATCAAATAGCTACTAGTCACGTCTTTGTTCCTAGCAGCAATGGCCTCCAACCTAATAGCGATGGGATCAAATGGCTACTAGTCGCATCCTTGTTCCTAGTAGCGATGGCCTCCAACCTAATAGCGATGGCCTCCACCTAGTAGCGTCCTTCCTATTCGTGTAAGTGCAGCATAGTGTAACTGGCAAAGTTCGATTCCAGCTCGTAGCAGTAAGGTGAAGTAAGCGACATTGGCTCATTGCTGCATGGCAGAAGCCTGACTTCACTGGGGCCTATGCCACCAATTTCGCAAGAAGATGTGCGTGAATCGGTGCTCTCCCACATGCACAGTTAAGTGGTCATGTTAGTTTTGTTTCTTTCTCTTAGAAGTAACAAAATTGACCTTCTATGTGTTCGTGAACAATGATTGACGACAGAGGTAGTTGTCGCACAAATGGGCCTTGAGCCGATCATGTGTGCGCTGGCACATACTGACATTGAAGCTCGACGTTGCAAGTCAGATTCTTTTGGAGAGGGTCGGGAGGGATTAGAAGCTTGTGCCTGGTTTGCTGCGACAAGATCTGTGTGTTTTTTGGCACAAGGTTTTGTTGCTTTTGAGTGTAGTGTACTCCATTTGACTACTGTATTTTGAAATGTGTTGATAATACCTGGCAATGACTTGGATTTGGGACACCACAGCCGTAGCTGTCCTCACTTCTTTGAGATTCGGTAACCAAGAATGGTGTTTGGGTCCAATTGAAGACCAACATAGTATGTCTTTTTGCACCATTTGCTGGTTCGCCTTCCTGTCGGACTGGTGAGGTCATTTGTGGTCGCGCTTATGATCCTGCCTTGTTTGCGGCGGAACCTGTGCGTCGAGGCTTTCCTGCAGCCACAGCACTTCATGCGGCGAAAGTCCTGGAATGCGGGGCGATTGCAACTACTCCCGGCAGCGGTTCAGTGCCATGGCCAAGGGCGGTATCAAAACGGGAGGCTGTGGCAGTGCAGTTGTTTGACATGTATATTAATTTGTTAGTACTAATTATGTCAGCAGGAAGGTTTGCAATTAGCTGTTTGGGAACGGTGCATAAATCAAACATGATTGAACACAACAGTTCCTGATGTCCGGGTCACGCGTGAAAAACGAAGGGATATATGTCATGAGAAAATCCGAGGATGATATCATTTTTGAGATACTGCATCACCATGGCATTCAGAGCCACACGTAAACATACCTGGACAAGGCCGTGCAGAAAGAACAAGCGGCGTGGCCAAGCAGGCAACAAGGCCCAGAAAAAGTGGTGGTAAAAGGGCCGACTAGGTGGACAAGCAGGACAGACAGACCCGAACAAGGCCCCGCCAAGGAGGACCCAGACAACGCGGCGCGGCCAACACAACGGACAAAAGCCTGGACTGGACAAGGACAACGTAAACTGCTTTGGGAACAAGAGGAGGACACAGGGTTTGCCAGAGCGGCCAAAGAATAGCAAGAGGACAAGGAGGTGACACACAAGGGTTGACGAGGACACGGGGTTGGCCAGAGCGGCCAGAGGCCAACAGCAGGGCAAGAGGAGGACAAGACAGAGTTCAAGGGCGCAGCCAGCCAGTGTGGCCAGCTCCTTTTGTTCCCTCAAAGAGAACCCCAACCGTAAACTGCTTGGGGAAAGAAACCTTTGGGAGACACCCCTGCCAGCCAAAAAGATCCCAAATTCAGTAATGGTAGTACCTGTTGTAGTTTCTTCAGGACAAGCTTAGTGGACCCACTGTTAGTTTCAGGCATGTTCGGCAAACTTTCTGATGAATAGCTATAAGACTTGACGACAGGTCGCTTCGGAGCATGGCTTTCTGATGTCTTTGGATGTTGTTTGTTTCTTTGATTTTTGTTCACTACTTCTGTTTTTCATTAGGTATTTCTTGATTCGTTGGCCCTCCCTTCTCGATTAGTTTTGTCGAGCTTTCTACTTGAGTTCATTTGTCTCAGGCCTTGCTTTGCTGCTCATGTCTTCTATCGCACTAAATCTTCTCCTCAAAGTATATTTCAATACTTGTTGCCACACGTTGCCGCCCAACAATCTTCAAATTGTTGGGCCAACGGGGGGGTTAGCCCCGCCGGCAACATATATCCGATCCGTTGACTGGTCTTTCGGGTTGGGGGGGTGGGGGGTGGGGTCAGTTTCGTCCGTGTTACTACTCGCGTACATCGACTTTGACGTTGACTTGTCCACTCGGTGACCTTTCGTTCGCATTCGTAGAAGGGGTCTTCTTGGCCGTTGCGATGCAAAGCTGCAACGACAGCACGTTGAAGGCCTCGCAGCGTTTTGGTTCAGCCAACATGGGCCAACATCCAGGGTTGGACTCAATGTTCGAGGCTGTCAGAATACATAAAGAAGCTGTGCAAGACACTTGTCCGCCAGCTCAAATGTACAGTGAGCTAAATGGCTCAATTGGGAACAAGACTGATGTCTGGCGGCTGCAAAATGATGGCAAGCTGTGCACGGAGCAGGCGGGTGGGTTGGGTACGTCAAAACGCATTCAACTTATCGTCTTGCGGGTGGGTTGGGTACGTCAAAACGCATTCAACTTATCGTTTTGCAACTCATGAGTTGCAAGACGATAAGTTGAGTGTCCGGAAAGCCACGAAGCCCTGTAAAGCACAAGGTTTTTTCACCCTCGTATGCTGCGTTCGGGGCTAACCCCCCCCGTATACCCAAATTGTTGCTTGACTTGGTTTGCTCCCTTGCCCTTGCTTGATTAGTTTGTTCCAGTACTAGCTCTTTATGCTTGTTCGTCCCTGGGTCCTTATATATTGTAATTTGGCTTGCCTCACTTTATTTTCGTGTGTAGAACTTGTTTTGTTCACAAGCCGTTCCTATTCTCAAGGAGTGCTTCTTCCTCAAGTAGCTTTCTATTTCTTGCTTAGTCCTTCCGTCATTAGATACTGTCATCTTTCAGGATATTCACAAACAAACAAAGGACAAAGGAACACACTACTCAAACACTTCACGCTATCATTGCAATATACATAATATACATGGGTTACTCTTTAACTAATCAATTAGTCCCTCTCCGGCTTTAACAGACGTTTTTTGCCTTCTTGGCTGGGTTGTCATGGTGGATGAAAAAACTACAAAAGACAGATTTTTGATGCTTTCTGCAACAAGAACTTTCAAAAATTGCGATCCTTACAAAGGAGGAACCTCAAAAGGAGACCTTGCTTATGTGCACATTTGTAAGTGAAGAGTTTCATCAAGAAGGAAAACGGTACAAAGGATGGCATAGATGTGAATGCACTTGAAAAGGCATATTTCGAGCAAGAGTGCCCAAATGTTAGAAGAAAAAACATGTCTCCAGGATAAGAAAGAACTGGTAATGTTTTTAATTAGGTTTCATGCCAAGCTAGACTTGTTTTTTTTACGACTATATAGATAGAGATCAAGGCAAAAAAGTTTGTCATGGGTTGACATATAAAAGGGTCTACACCTATGCACGACATATACATGGAAACCAGGAACTAAAAGAGGCCTAAACACATGGCACTGCAAACCTATATTTTTGCCTGCTATGTTAGGGAAATCTCTAAGAAAAGTAGAAACGAAGACAAACATGGAAGTGGAATGAAATCCAGGGACATGCACAGTTTTCACCGTTAACATGGAAGCCGGTCTGCATGTGTTGCCTCCTTGTGTGTGCCTTCCATGATAGTGTTGCCTACAAGTTTGATATACTTCAGCTTGATATATGACTGTAGTGCTAAAATACTCTTCAGTGCAGTACAGAAAGTCATTTGGCTCGGGGCTACTGTACAACCTTCATGCAGCTTCGAACCCGACATCCAGGCCAACGACAGCTAACATGGAACCAGAGGAGACACATACACATCTCTTCCCAGGATAGACCTGTGACCCTGCCAAACTTGTGACTGCTAGGTTAGTGGTTTTTTGCCAGAAAGCAATCATTTTACCACTGACATGGCACTGCAAATGCTGCTGAAGTCAAGCAGCGGCGCCTTCTAAGATAGTGGTTTTCCCTTGGTTGAGGCTTTGCTACAAGCAGTTCCGGGCAAGCCGGCGGCGGAAGTTTCCTATAAGAAACAAATTGACCTATAGGAGTGCCCCGGTTCTTTTCACCATGCGTGTCCCTCGTGTCCCTCAGCCAGACGCATGAGTGATGAGCGATGAGTGAAGCATAGCTCTAGCTCTAGCTCCACTAAACCAAACTGGAGCTAGACGTTAACTATGATGTGATAGCTTGTCTAGACACGAAGCTAATTAGCTCAAATTTGTCAACCTCTCAAAACACGTGTTTTGAGGTTTCCAGGAAGTAATCGAAATGACCACTTTTGAGTAAGCAAAGTAGCTAAAATTTGTCAACCTCTCAAGAGAGCCGGGTGGTCGGGAGACATGACTCAGCTGCAGGGGCGCCAGAGCAGCCGCGAGAGATGACTCAGCCGCGAGAGATGACTCAGCCGCGTACTAAAGTTGCACTACCAAGTCGCCAGTTCTCAGCTTCCAGCTCCACAGATTGCTCCGCGTACTAAAGTTGTACTACGTCAGTTCTCATCTTCCAGCTCCCCAGATACTCCGCGTACTAAAGTTGTACTACAAAGTCGCCAGTTCTCAGCTTCCAGCTCCCCAAATACTCCGCGTACTAAAGTTGTACTAGAAAGCCGCCAGTTCAGTCGCCAGTTCTCAGCTTCCAGCTCCCCAGATTGCTCCGCGTACTAAAGTTGTACTACAAAGTCGCCAGTTCTCAGCTTTCAGCTCCACAGATTGCTCCGCGTACTAAAGTTGTACTAGAAAGTCGCCAGTTCTCATCTTCCAGCTCCCCAGATACTCCCCATCTGCACCTCCAGCTTCGCAAAGTGCTGTGCCAGCCACGAAATCTGCACATGGAGGTTCACAAAGTGCTGCGCCTGCCGCGAAATCTGCACATGGAGGTTCACAAAGTGCTGCGCCTGCCACGAAATCTGCGCACGGAGGTTCACAAAGCGCTGCGCCTGCCACGACATCTGCGCGTGGAGGTTCACAAAGTGCTGCGCCTGCCACAAAAATCTGCGCATGGAGGTTCACTAAGTGCTGTGCCTGCCACGAATTCTGCGCATGGAGGTTCACAAAGTGCTGCGCCTGCCACGTAATCTGCGCATGGAGGTTCACGAAGCGCCCTATAGATCAGCTGAGGTTAAAAACAACCTCTGAGGTTATTTGGTTTCCTGAGGTTAATTCTAACCTCACTGAGGTTATTCTTAAGAGTAACCTCTGAGGTTATTCTTAAGAATAACGTCACAGTTTCTGCTGTTGTTCTAGAAAATAACATCAGAATGGTTTACCACATGGGCTGTCAAGACACTTGTTTTCCACATTGACAGCTTGAGGTGGATTTGTGAAAGTATTTGTAGAACATATGTGGCACATGAGTTTGTGCTAAATGTATTTGTAAATGTATTTGAATAGTTTGGTCAGAACATGAAAACCGTGGCCCAGATGTATCTGTGTTGCCACATGTTGGCACAGATTCTTTGGGAGATGTTGTGGCACACATGAATCAGAACTACTTGGGGAAGTGAAAACATGCATTATTCTTTGCGAGGGGAAGTGAAGAATGTGTTATTCTTGGGAAAGGGTCTGTCATAATTCAGGAAAAGGAAAAAATGAGGAAAAGGAAAAGGAAACAAACAAGGAAAAGGAAAAGGGAAAATGAAGAGGAAGATGGAAAAAAGACCAGGAAAAGGAAAAAAGGAAGAGGAAAGGAAACACAATCTAAAGACTAAAAAAAATGTGGGCAAAAGTTTTTTGATGAGGAGAGTTGAGGCAGCA